TATCCATCATCCATTCATCATCCATTATCCAAACATCATCCATCCATGAAACCATCCAACCTTCATCCTATCACCATCCAGCCACCCATCATCCTTCCATCCATCCATCCATCCATCCATCCATCCATTTATCCACCCATCCATCCAGCCATCATCCATCATCACCATTTTGTCCATTGCAGGAAGTAGACTGCTCCTAAAGTAGATTTGAATTCCTTTTTCAAATGAGCAGAAAAAGTTCAGACTTCAGTGCCTCATGTGTTTAGAAATTTACTAACAACAGGAGAGGAGACCATAAAAACATTAAAATTGCATTAACAAAGAAAACAGAATATCACAAATAAACCCCAGAAAGGACAGAGGCCTCAGTGTTCAGAGGTTAGGACAGACTGTGTCTGTGTTAGAGACAAACTCTAATATCATTTTGAATTTTAAATTCAATTCAAGAATAAAATAAAAAAAAAATAAAATCCAAGAAGTTAAAAAAAAACATTTAATTTGAATTTTTTTAAACATTTAGATGTTGGGGGGTTTTTTTTTTTCAGTTTTTTCCTGGGAAATTGTTCATTTTGGAGACTTATTTTTGTATTTTGGGATCATTCTTTTGTTTTATTTGTAACAAAACCACAGAAATGTCCTCTAAAGCTAAATATTATTATCAATAATATTATAATAATTTGTTCCTGACAAACCAGACCTTGAGCTGCGGTTCTGCAGCCAGCTGAGTCCGGCTCGGTCCAAACTTTAAAGTTCCCACAGGAAGCGGAGGAGCCGCCCCGTGGCGCGGCGCGCGCCTCTCATTGGCTGCGCGCGCTGATTTGCATTGACGTCATCAGAGGCTGTAGGTCAGTCCTCGCGCTGCGTTTATTGGATGTTCGGCTGTCAAGCAGCTGAAGAACTGGAAGGACAAACAGCACCGGAGACAAACACTTAATCAGCCTGAATGGAGCGGGATTCTGCTGGTTCCGGATCAGTCAGACCCAGAGAATCCGGATCTCGGTTCTGAAACTTGTGGACACGGAGCGGCTCTTTTGTTTCTCTCTTTTGATTTTTTTCCAGATTTTTTTTTTTCTCCGGAGGAGGAACCGACATTTACAACCAAACACTTTTTGGGTTTTTATTTTTTTCCTGCAGAATGAGACCGGACCGCGGATCCTGACCGGACCGGACCGGAACCAGCAGCCGCTCCTGGGTTTGGATCATTCCCAGCCGGGCAGCAGGAGGAATGGAGACGCGGAGCCCAGTGAGGTCTGTGCGCGTGCTGGATGCGTGAGTCCGGGCTGATGGATGGGGCGCTGCGTCGGGCTGCGTGGCCTGCGGTGTGACAGGAGCAGAACCCCCCCGCAACATTTCAGCCTGTTGATGATGAGGCGCGCAGGACCCGAGCCAAGAGTGGGGACAGACACGCTGATCCGGCCCGCGTCCTGCTAACCCGACTGGATCGGAACCGTCTAATAAAGGGCATTACTGGGAATCTTCATGGCTCCGAGGTGAAGGACTACAACAAACCCTGCACGCACACGCGCAGAGAAATGGATAAAAAGTCGTGCGCGAGGCTGACGGGGACGCAGCTCGGTTTGTTTTAGGCCTGCTGGAGGAGAGCTGGGAAGTTGAGGAAGATGAGAAAATGGTGATGTGGTACGAGGAGAGGAAGAGGAGCAGCTGGGAAATAACGGAACCCGAGTTCTCCAGGACGGGACTGTTCGGCTGCTGGGATTAAAGCTCCAATTAGGTTCATGTGAAAAACACAGAGGGAGGAAATCAGCTTCCTGCTTCAGGGGAGGGGGCGCGCACATCTCATGCTGGAGCGAAGGCACAGCCGGCTTTGCTGTGGCCCTGATGATCCACACATGTGTGCATTTATGTGACTGGTTCTGAGGAAGACTGGACCTCTTGTTACACAGAGAGGAAAAAAAACAAAAAAACGAACTGGGCTGAAGTGGGCTGAAGCATGGGCTGTGCTTCAAGTATTCATATCTCTGATAGGGTGGTCTACCACAGTGGAAAAGAGTCCGAGGATTCCCACTCCCCCCAGCAGACCAACACCACTCAGCATCAAGGAAATCCTGCCTCTGGACTACCCCTGAAACCCCCCAGCTGCAAGGTGAGGGTCCAGTCAGCACACACACAGAACTGCTGGGTTCACACCAGGACTGGGTCTGTTGGTCCCTGTCTGGTTTCAGCTGAGCAGGTCCAGGTTGTCCAGGTCCCGACCAGGACTTGGTTTGTGGGAGATGTTGTATTTTTGGGACCAGGGTGAGCTGCTTTAAGGTCACATGACCTTCATTAGAAAGAATGAAATAACTTTAAAAAGTCCCAAACAAACTTTGAAGATGTCCGCCTCCTGTAGCGTTTATCCGTTGGCCGTCCCAGTACGAGTTCGATATCACTGTCATCACTGCTGATTGTCATCATCCAACATCTTTGAGGCATAGCCATTTTTGTGTTGGGTGTGGCAGCCATTTTGAACTTTTAAACAAAGAGCTTAGCAAACTGTTAGCACCAGGAAGAGTAGAGGTTTTGTTCATGTACCGTCACACCAGAGTTTAGTTCAGAGTTTCTTTATTTGCCATTCGCACCACATGTGGTACATGTGATGGAACGAAATTGTGTACTCAGGGTCCCCGTTACATCCAACAATAAAAATGTAAAAGAAAAACAGTAATAAGATCCTAAGATATGAACTTAGAAAAACGTTAACTAAAAATACACTAAGCACAAAAAACAATACGCCGCACAGCAGCACGAACATGAGTCTGTGTGAGCAGATGAGCACGCATGAACACAGCAACATGAAACAGATCAGCAGCAACATGAAACAGATCAGCAGCATGATGTGATTTATCACAGTTAGAATCTGAGCATGAGTCTAACAGCTTCAGGGTAGAAGCTGTTCCTCAGTCTAGTGGTTCTACACTTAATGCTCCTTAACCTCCTTCCTGATGGGAGCGGGGCAAAATGTGTGTGCGCTGGGTGTGTGGGGTCCTTCATGATGCAGGTGGCCCTCTCCCTTAATCTAAAATTGACAAACTTGTAGACACGTTTGCGCCAAGTTAGCTGTGGCATCCATTTTGAATTGGGTTGACCCAAACAACTGATCAGTTCTGGAGGAGCATCCAGTGACTACTTTAACTTTTGAGATATTTCAGAGCTTTAACTGGATTTCAAGCGTTCTCCATGCTCTGTGTTTCTTTTTTTCTTTTTTGAAGAATTACGCCACAGCGGTAAATCAAAATGCTAATTAAGATAATCGCACACATTTTGTGGCTGAGCTGCTTGTTTTGATGTACATCTTGGACCAAATTAATAAAAGGTGCCACCATTGAAAAGCATAAAGAACTGCTTCTTCTGCTTTTCTATGGCAGGCCTCAAATATAGCTGAACCTATTAGAAAAATGAATATTGGAACACATACGGTTAAAAACTATGGATCAACAAGAGTCAACAGCAGAAAATATATAATCTCAGCCAGGTGCATTTTTATAGCAACAATGTCTCATTTGTTTTCATGACAAGTTTTAAAACTTACTGGATGCTGAATCTACTCTAGCTTTAACGTTCAAGATTTCCTTACAGGTTCATGGTTTGACCCAGCAAACTTGTTTTTACCTAAACTGTTAAATTAAACTACTTAAAAGTTGAATAAACTACAACATTGTTTATTAGACATTTGCAACTTGGGTTGGTGCCTCGACGTGTAAGGAAATATTTAACTCCAAACTGGGACACAGAAGTTAAAGCCGTAGTGGGGACAGGCCCCTCAGGATGATCCAGTTCAGGGTTTAGGTCCCTCCATGCTCGTGAAAACAAATGGGACGTTTCTTAATTAAAATAACTTGTTTATCTCGCTGATGCATGTTCAAATATTCTTTTAAAAAAAAACAGCTGTAATTTGTTATGTCATGCTTAAAATAAAGCTTGTGTGACACCATTATTCTGTGTAAGGAAGTAGGCGGGACTTAACTCCTCCATCACATGACTCTGGTTCCAAAATTACAAGATGGCTACTCTGAAATGCCAGCACTATTGACTTTAATTTCCAACAACAAGAAAAGTTGAGGGCATGTAGTGTTTGAGTGTATTGTAGAGCTATCAGCTATTAGCATGAGCTAACTTGTACCAACTAATGTGATTTTAGGAAAACAAACTCGTTCAAACCCAAAGTTGAAACCAACCAGTGTAAACATTTTCCTACAAGTTTTTGTCGTCTTACTTCCTAAAGCAGAAGTCCAGTCAGGACCCGTTTGGTCATCTGGTTTAAAATGACGAACGGTGAACAGTGACTAGGCCCACAACCAACTGAACCATCGGGCCAAATGTTTTCACCCAATAATTGGTCAACTGGACCCAACAGCTTCGAGCCAGCAGCTCAGACCAGACTCACTGCAGTAACTCTGTAGTTTTTACTGTGCACATTTCCACAGTCTGCATGTGAGTTGTAGATTTCCTTTATAGTTGGTTCTACTGGTACAGTGTCGTGTGAAAGTATTCAGCCCCCTTGAACTTTTCAACCTTTTCCCACATTTCAGGCTTCAAACATAAAGATATAAAATTTTATTTTTTTGTGAAGAATCAACAACAAGTGGGACACAATCGTGAAGTGGAATGAAATTTATTGGATGTGTCAAACTTTTTTAACAAATAAAAAACTGAAAAGTGGGGCGTGCAATATTATTGGGCCCCTTTACTTTCAGCGCAGCAAACTCACACCAGAAGTTCAGTGAGGATCTATGAATGATCCAATGTTGTCCCAAATGACTGATGATGATAAATAGAATCCACCTGTGTGTAATCAAGTCTCCGTATAAATGCACCTGCGCTGTGATAGTCTCAGGGTTCTGTTCAAATCGCAGAGAGCATCATGAAGACCAAGGAACACACCAGGCAGGTCCGAGATACTGTTATGGAGAAGTTTAAAGCCAGATTTGGATACAAAAAGATTTCCCAAGCTTTAAACATCCCAAGGAGCACTGTGCAAGCAATCATATTGAAATGGAAGGAGTATGAGACCACTGCAAATCTACCAAGACCCGGCCGTCCCTCTAAACTTTCATCTCGAACAAGGAGAAGACTGATCAGAGATGCAGCCAAGAGGCCCATGATCACTCTGGATGAACTGCAGAGATCTACAGCTGAGGTGGGAGAGTCTGTCCATAGGACAACAATCAGTCGTACACTGCACAAATCTGGCCTTTATGGAAGAGTGGCAAGAAGAAAGCCATTTCTCAAAGATATCCATAAAAAGTTGTTTAAAGTTTGTCACAAGCACCTGGGAGACACACCAAACATGTGGAAGAAGGTACTCTGGTCAGAAGAAACCAAAATCAAACTGTTTGGCCACAATGCAAAACGATATGTTTGGCGTAAAAGCAACACAGCTCATCACCCTGAACACACCATCCCCACTGTCAAACATGGTGGTGGCAGCATCATGGTTTGGGCCTGCTTTTCGTCAGCAGGGACAGGGAAGATGGTCAGAATTGATGGGAAGATGGATGGGGCCAAATACAGGACCATTCTGGAAGAAAACCTGTTTGAGTCTGCAAGAGACCTGAGACTGGGACGCAGATTTATCTTCCAACAAGACAATGATCCAAAACATAAAGCCAAATCTACAATGGAATGGTTCACAAATAAACGTATCCAGGTGTTGGAATGGCCAAGTCAAAGTCCAGACCTGAATCCAATCGAGAATCTGTGGAAAGAGCTGAAGACTGCTGTTCACAAACGCTCTCCATCCAACCTCACTGAGCTCGAGCTGTTTTGCAAAGAAGAATGGGCAAGAACTTCAGTGTCTCCATGTGCAAAACTGATAGAGACAAACCCCAAGAGACTTGCAGCTGGAACTGCAGCAAAAGGCGGCCCTACAAAGTATTAACGCAAGGGGGCCGAATAATATTGCACGACTCACTTTTCAGTTTTTTATTTGTTAAAAAAGTTTGACACATCCAATAAATTTCATTCCACTTCACGATTGTGTCCCACTCGTTGTTGATTCTTCACAAAAAATTAAAATTTTATATTTTTATGTTTGAAGCCTGAAATGTGGCAAAAGGGGCCGAATACTTTTGCAAGGCACTGTACCTTTTAGAGTCAAGTTCAAGTTGTGTTTATTTGTCATATGCAAGGTTAACACTGGGTTAACAGTACAATGAAATGCTTGGGATGAGAAGAACTGATTTGACTCGCTAAAAAAAAAAAAAATCAAAGAACAATCAAACAAGAAAATCCAAAAAGCATGCAATAAGAGTACACAAAAAGTACCAAAAAGTGAAAAGGTAATTAAAATATTTACAATGTCCTAAAGAGAGATATTGAGCAACAACAGGTTAGAATATAATGGTGCAGCAGGATGGATGTGAATGAATAAGGATTGGAATATTGGACTATGGACATAGATGGATTATGCCTTTATTTCAACCCAAGAGCTTCATGTTTTAAATTTAATTAGCTTTTTTAAATGTTTTAACTCAGAGGAACCGAGTCATGGGCCCGTCACGCTAGCTCTAGGGAGTTTTTGTTGCACATTTTGGCGCCTGTAAACGTCCCCGTTGTGTTTCATTCAGTTGCAAATGATGATTACTGTTGAGAGATGAATGCCAAGCATAAAGTCAAGGAGCATGGTTCTGGTTCAGGCCTCTGCCTCACCTTTTAGTTGTAACCTCCCAGAAGCTGTTCTATTCAGTGGGCTGTCCTCACGAGATCTTATTGTTTTCATCCATCCATCCATCCATTATCTTTACCCGTTTATTCCATTTTGGGTCA